CTCTGCTGAGCAGGGAGCCGGATGTGGGGCTCGATCCCAGGACCCTAGGATCATGACCTGAACCGAAAGCAGCCACTTAATGGACTGAGCCACTCAGGCGCCCCTGCTGTTTTTTTTTTTTTTTTTAATTTGTGCTAAAATACACATGCATTAAATTTACCATCTTAACCATTTTTAAGTGTACAGTTTAGTAGTGGTAAGTACATTCATGTTCTGATGCAACCAGAAACCTTTTCTTTCTATTGCAAGACCAAAAACCTATACTCAGTAAACAATAACTCCCCATTCCCCATACTCCTAACCCTTGGTAACCACAATTATACTTTCTATCTCTATGAATTTGACTATTCTAGGTACCTCATGTAAGTGGGATCATACAGCATTTGGCTGACTGCGTTTTAACCCAAACATATGGTCTTTTTTTTTTTTAAGATTTTATTTATTTACTGAAGAGAGAGAGAGAGAGTGCGAGATCACGAGCAGGGGGGAGGGGTAGAGGGAGAAGCAGACTCCCCGCTGAGCAAGGAGCCCAACTGGGGACTCAATCCCAGCACCCTGGGAACATGACCTGAGCTTAAGGCAGACTCTTAACCGACTGAGGCGCCCTACCCAAGCATACGTTCTGAAGTCTTTTTACCTAAGAGCACAAAGCAAAGAATCAGAAGAACTGAAGTTCTCCTCCCCCACCCCTGCATCTCTACCACAGATTTCTGTGTCGCTTTGGTCAGATCTCAACTTGTCTCTTTTTCTTCACCTGAACAGTGAAGTTAATACCATCTGCTTCCCTTCACCTCTACTGTGGCTGTGAAGCCAAAACGAAGTGATAGGCAAGGACTCTTGAAAATTTAAAACAAAACAAAGGAAAGCATGCAACTACATCACTTTAAATCTCTGCTTCCCCTCCCCATTCACATCTGTAGAGCCTTACAGTTCAAGAACTCCATCAATATTTTCCGAGGGAAAGAATGAACAAATGTGTGAATGAGAGAATGCACACATGCTTCCTGAGTTGTAACAGCGGATAAGCGATGGAAGAGAGGACGCAACCCAGGTGTGCCAAGAAAACATAGTCTCTCCACCCTCGCTCATTTCAGAGCAAGTTCACAAACCTGTCAGGTGGGCTTATGATGTGCAAACCCTGGCTTGGGAGAAGCAGGGATGCATGACACAGAACATACCATCAAGAAATTTACAATCCAGCAGGGATCCAGACATATAAACAACACATTTATAGAGGATTCAGGGGTATCAGAATTGCATCCCTATTTTGTGATTTTCTGTAAATTGACCTCATGTCTCCATCCTCCCCCTCCTGACTGAATCTTTAGTTGATCCAATTCCAGGCTGGCTCAGTAAATTCCATGTTTTCTTCTCCTCCTTCCTGGGACTTCCTAGGGCTGTGTCTCAGTTCCGAGGGTCATGTGCTGAGTGGGGAGGAGAGGTGGGAGGAGGCATTGAATACCTGGGTGTCACCTATCACCATTATGTCCGCCTCCGCCTGATTCTCAGGTGTGCTTACCTGCAATGTGGTTGCCTGTCCATCTGCTTCATCGTGACACAGACAGTCAGGATCCACCTGCTGGCTGTCACTGTCCGCCTTGGAGCTCAGGGGAAATCGGGAATTCTCCAACACTGCTTTGGAGCCTAGGGAACTGTGAGTGGCTGTTTCAGACCCTCTCTGCTCTCAGCCTCTCGCATAATCATCCCTACCTTCTGCTCTCAGACCACAGGATATGAGGAACACCTGCACGGAGGTTCCTGCCCGGGTCCCAGGCAAGAATCAGGGAAGGGTTCCTCTACTCTTGCATCCTCATACTTTCCTGGGGACACTCTCATCCTACTCCCCTGTGAAGCTGACTCTGGGAAGGGCCCCTTCTCGGTGCACTCATCCTCTGCTTTCATTCGAACCTGCGGAGGTTCTTCCTCTTGGGAGACGGAGGTGGGCAGAAGGGAGCCTAGCTCGGCAAGTACTTTGATCTTTACAGCTCACACCTGGACTGTGATGTCAGTCATAAGACCCAATAGCTTTACCGTGGTGTTCTTGCTTTTTAGCTCCACCCGACTCCAGAAACCTTTTATCTAGCAGCCTGTATGCAGAAAGATCACAAGAGGGTAAGAGAAGACTTGTGGGGGGGAAAGCCGGATGTAGTGGTTGAGAATACACTAGAATGAGTGGAGAGTGTAAAGGAGCATTTTCTCCGTCTAGGAATGGAATGTGAGGAAGAAAGCAAAACAGGGAGCAGCCTGTCCTTACCAGCAGGAACCTTGTCCATGCACTGAGTCCCATCTTCTTATGCCTCTTTAGGCAGTGTAGACTCTCATGTAAAGGAGGTGACCCCTCTTCTAGTCTGTGTTGGTGACCTTCTGAGATGAAATGATGATAAGCCCGTAGGTTCGCCTAACTTGTCACAGTTTACTAAGCATATTACATCCCTTAGTGCATTCGGTCAGCACAGCCCCATGAGGAGGGCAGTTGTTTACCACCCCCACTAAACAGATGAGGAAACCAAGCTTCAGAGGTTAAGAGACGTGGCCTGAGCAAACCAGAGAATGCCAACAATCGCCAGAACGTACAGCCTTGTTTCTAAATCCTCTGTGAGGGGCGCCAGCAAAGGTGTGTCTCATCACCTTTGGAGAAGGAAGAAATGGGAAGGCAGAAAGCCCACCTCACTCCTAGGGCTTCAGAGACACTGCCATGATGTGACAATGAGAACAAAACACCCAATTCAGTGTTAGCACCGTGCCGCCCCACAGGCCCATGGAAGGGAGAGTCACAGAAACAGAGTACAAGTGTGGGTCCAACAAACATTTTCTGTCTGTTAGCATTGGATGATATTCCAAGTGCAAGGGATATAAAAAACTAATAACAAGATTTTAGAAGTTTCTTCTCTAGTAATGAGAGATCCATGAACAAGTGAAATGCAATCTTATGTGAGTCTTAGAGATTTACACAGAGTTTGATTCAGTTTAGAAGAGGGATTGGTCAGTCAGTCCTGGGAAGAGGTGGGAAGCTTCATAGCGGAAGTGCCTCTTGGGCTGAGTCTAAAACGCAGGTGGGTTCTGACACATGGATGGGGAGACAGAGTAATTGAGGGAGGGGAGGTGTCATGGGAAAGGCCCTGAGGTGTGAAATGTCGTGGAATATCTTAGGAAGTGCACTGCTGTGTGACTGAATCATTATGTGCAGCAAGGGATGAAGATGGGGTATACTGATGAACTTGGAGAGAAGCTAGTTCATAGAGGGCCTGGGAAGCCATACTCCCCAGTATTTGGTCCTCTAAACCCTGCTGGCCAATATGGTAGCTACTAGCCACATGAGAGTAGAGAGCATTTGAAATGTGGCTAGAGTGACTAAGCAATTTAATGTTTAATTTTAGTTCATTTAAACTTAAAAACGGATTCAATTCCGTGACTGGGAAACTTTTAAGTATGTTTGGAACAACGTGGGTAAGTACATGTGTTCTTTCGACTCCATTGTAAATTGTCTGAAATCTAAATATAAGTCAAGCATTTCCAAGGAAAATTTGACATCTGGAATTGAGATACATAAGTGTAAAAATATACACCAGATTTCAGAGATTGGCATGCAAAAAGAATGTAAAATATATCATTAATGATTTTTATATTGGTGACAGATCACAATAATATTTTTGATATATTGGTTCAGTAACAGTGTTCAAATTAATTTCACTTTTTTTTTTTACTTTTAAAATTTTCCAGGAGCCACATAAAAAGATTACATATGTGGCCCACACTATATTTTTAGTAGACAGTGCTGCTTAAGCATTGGGGGAACATTGGAGAATTTTATGTAGGGCAGAGACATGGTCAGATTTGCATTTAGAGGGAACATTCTGGTAAGAAAGGGGAGGATAGTGTGGAGGGATTTAAGAGTAGAGAAAGGTGCACTTAGTTAGGAAATTATTGCAGTAAAAGTTTCAGGATTGGGGTAATCAGACAGATATTATGGAAGGTCAATTTAGAGCAGGCGTCAGAATCACCTGGGGGGCTTGTTAAACCAGAGATTGTGGGTCCCACTCCCAAGGAGGCTGAACTAGGGTGGAGTCCAAGTATTTTTGTTTCTAACTAGTTTCAGCTGCTGCTGCTGGCGATCTGGAGACCTTACTCCGAGAACCTCTCCCCTACATGACTTGGCCACCGTTAGGATATATGAAGAGGGAGAGAGAAAAGCCTATGAAGACTTGCAGATTCATGTTATGGTGGTCTGGGTGGATAGGGAATAGAAGAGGAGAAGCTGACTTGGGACAAATGGGATGGGTTTTGTCTGGAATCTCTTGAATTTGAGATATCTCATGGGTAGTTGGATATATATATATAGGTCTGAAACTCAGGAAAGAGATTGAGCTATAATTAAAGATTGGAAGTCACCAGAGTTGAGTTGGCAGGTAAGGCCCTAAGCATGAGTGAGGTTGCCTAGAGAGACAGAGAGGCATGAGAAGACAAGAGACCCAAGAGTAGAGTCCTATAGTTGAAGCTATGTTTTGATCAAAATCATCAGTGTTCAACATGAGAGATGATGGACTCTGAAAAACAAACTGAGGGTTCTAGAGGGGAGGGGGGTGGGGGGATGGGTTAGCCTGGTGATGGGTATTAAAAAGGGCACGTTCTGCATGGAGCACTGGGTGTTATGTACAAACAATGAATCATGGAACACTACATCAAAAACTAATGATGTATGGTGATGAACATAACAAAAAAAATTTTTAAAAATCATCAGTGTTCAAGAAAAACAAGATAGGCAGGAATATGCACTTGTCATTTTTAACTCTATGTTCTTGTGTTCGATCACAGTGACCCAGGCTTAAGGAACAGATTCATAGGGCTTTAAAATCTAATCAGAGGTTAACTATGCTCCACCACTGACATGACAGAAGTTAAGGAAAGTCTTTTATTTATGAATTTGATCATTAATAAAATAGTCTTGGCTGACCAGCAGAACCTTCCTAAGCTTTAGCTTTGTTGTTTGTTTATCTTTTAAGACTGGGATACTGATACCTCTCTCCCAGAGTTTCGGGGGGAAGGGAATAATGCGTGTTAAGCACAGCACCCAGCTGACACACAGGAGCGTCTCAGGAAGGATAATCATCATCATTGCTGTGAGACCACCTTCCAGGTGAGGCAGCTTCGCTAACTGATCCTTCATGGTTAGAAACTCATTTCACATGGAATCTCACCCAATGCAGAGAGATCCATTTCAAGTCAACAACAGCAGTGAGCATTTCAGGATGGGAATTATTGCAATTTTAAAGTTCAGAGGGAAGGAAAACCAATTCTTTGGAGCAAATGTGTATTGTCCATTGTTACACTGTGTTTTTACAACAAATGAAATGAAATGGAAAGTAGCCTTCCTCTGTACCAGGCAGGCTGGACATATTATCCCATTTAATCTATCAACATAATATCTTTAAGTCTCCAGTGAATGGCTCCACGTGTTTCGTAGCAGGAGGAAGAGGAGCTGGGTCCCTGTGGTCCCAGCACACTGCCGAGGCAATCAAAAGCTGGGTCCCTGCAAGGTGGCTCGTTGACATTATTCTGAGCAGCGGATGGGTGGCTACAGTCTGACCTGACAGGCGGGCCACACCTGTGTAGACAAGTGCAGCCTTTCTTTTGGTCATTTAAGCCATTTTCCCCATCTCCCTCTCCTGTTCTCATTTTCTTTGGGAGCCACAGCACTTCCTTTGATTTGCCTGCTGTGTTTCCTCACACAAAACCCTTCGTCTGAGAGAGAAAGTCGTCCTCATATTACCTTTAATCTGAATATCAATTTCAGCATCTTAAACCAGAGAGCCTTATCTAGTCCAGCTGCTTTGATTGAGATATGGTCTGGAAAGAAGTAAAATAGAGTTTGTGGGGCTTGCCTGACATCTCTCTGAGCCCTCTTGTACTTTTCCTTCCAGAGAATTCTCACCTCTCCCAGGTCCTGGTGTGCTGATGAAATAGACATTCTGTTTTGTTTCTGTTGGGCACAGAGTGAAGTCCAAATGCATTTCCTAATGGTTTGTTTTCCAGCTGGGCTGAACAGAATCAAAGCCACAAACCACCAGTGAGGGCCCAAGATGTCTAAATGGATGGGGAAGCCATTTAAAATGCTAGAAAAAATAAAAATAAAATCAGAGGCTGATGGGATTCTCTGTAGTTATTTTACTGAGTAGGAGGAGATTGTTTTTTATACACATATAAAGTATATCATTAGCCAATTATATTACAGTGAGGTATTTACCAATCAGCAATGCTTCTGTTTTTTTTTTAAATAAAGCATATCTGTACATCCCCTCGTCTAACCAACCCCTTCCTCCTTCCCTCCCTCCTAACCCCTGCCACCAAGAACTTCCACTAAGTGATCAGCAAACTCATCTATATCTTCAAACACATCTTCGAGTATTTCCAACACCCACTTGCCTTAGTTGAAACCCAAGGTGACTGTGTGCCCCCTTCCTCTCTCATAGCTCAGGATCCAATGGAAGGATAATGGTCCTCCTTGTTTACCGTTGCTACTTCCAGACGATTATTCCCCTGCCCTCTTATGAAAACAAATTAAACCCAAAACACACAACAGCACAACAAACCCAGCTCCTTCGAAGCTCATGCTATCCTACATTACTCCCTACTCCCCTGCTTTAGTTGTCATTTGCCCTCCTTCACTGAAGACTTTAGGACCTGAGTCACCGTCATTGTCTCCTGTGATCAATGCCATCAAGCGTAATAACTTGTATCTGCAGGGAGGCTGCTCAGCCAACGCCTTGCACATCAACTCAGTGAACTTCTCAACTGTACCTCAACCCACGTGCCCATGATCCTGCCCCAGACACTGTCAAATACCTACACCCCTTCCAAAACTCATGGTTTTGCAAATCCAATTTCTAGGCCTCTGACCTATGAGTCCAACCACTTACTTTTTTCTTTTGTTCATTGGCCCTCTCTTGACATCACTTGCCTCTTCATGGCTTCTATTTCATGATTTGTCAATGTCATCACTTTTCTCTCTTCATCACACCCGTCTCACAGACTGAACAGTTTCCTACCCCAGTGCCCCCAAGAAAGGCCATGGGAAACCACAATGTAGAGCAAACTGCTGTCACTCTAAATGAATAACTTACTGTGAATGGGTGCACTGTGATGCCTCAGATTCCTAATGGCTCTCTCTATATCTGGTAAGCTTGATCTCCCCTTCTCTCCCCAAATTTCCTATTCTTGTCTTTCACTTTATGGTTAAAGTAAAAGCCGTCACGTGGAAGGGCTGCTGCCAGTTCGGTACACATGCTTGTGTCAGCCTCAGTCTTTGCTTCCGCTCTTGGTCCAGTGGAGCAAGTGTCCTACTCCTCTGCAAGGCCGGTCTCTTCATGTGCAGCTGGGCTTCTCTCTCTCGAAGGCAATAGCCCTAGTATTGCACATCATTACCTGCCCCTTCTTAATTTGATCCATCCCGTCTACACACAAACATGGTGCAAAAGCTTTCATCTTAAAAACTTTACAAACTAGAGGGTGCCTGGGTGGCTCAGTCGGTTAAGCGACTGCCTTCGGCTCAGGGTCATGATCCTGGAGTCCCGGGATCGAGTCCCGCATCGGGCTCCCTGCTCAGCAGGGAGTCTGCTTCTCCCTCTGCCCTCTTCCCTCTCGTGCTCTCTGTCTCTCATTCTCTCTCTCTCAAATAAATAAATAAAATCTTAAAAAAAAAAAACAAAACACCTTTACAAACTAGCAAAACTACTCTGATGATCCCACATCCCTGTAGAACTCCACCCTATTCTCTTGATTCCTCACGCTTCCTTCAGACACATTATCTCCACTTCTCTTCACATTTGCTCGTGCTTTACTCTTGTGCCCATTCTGATCTGGTGTCTCCCCTTACCACTCCAAAATGGCTCCTCTCAAAGTCCCTAAGGACTTCTGTCTTCATCCTGCTCTGATTGCTCCTGAGGGGTGCAGTGCAGTCCAGCCTTCCTGAACCCCAGAGTTGACTGGGATCGAAGGAGAGTTCTTCTTGGCTTTCTCTTTCCCTGGTTTTCCCTGTTAAATTTTTGCCTGCTCTGCCATTTTGCTTGTATCATGCAGATGGATACCAGTCTCCTTTTGCTTTCCACAAAGATGGCCATTATTTTCAACAATGCTCATCGTCATGGAGTTTTCCATACTTTATTCCAAATAAAGTCAGTCCCCTAAGGCAGAGCTGCAGAGCTTTTCCTCCGTAGGGTGTGCTTTTCCCACGAGGCAGAACCCCTCTACTACTGCACTGGAGCTGGGTCAGAGACCCTCTTTCCCCAGGATGACGTCCTGCTCTATGAGGGGGTACTAGGGGAAGGGGAACCCTTTGTCTTCTCAGCTTGCCCTTCCCAGCATGGAATTTCTGCCCTACAAGGAAGCTAGAGTGGAGGCAAACAGGGCCCCAGTACCACTGACTTACCATGACTGGAGCAGAGCTTCTGCCCTACCAGGGGCTAGATGAAGAAAAGGAGACTAGGTAAAGGAGACCCAGTCCTCTTGGTATGCCTATCTAGAATAGAACTTCCACAAAATGGGGCTGGGAACTGAGAAACACCAGCATCCTGCCCCTTCAGAAGTCAAACCACCGCCCCAGACTAGGGTCTAAGGGACACTGGAGCCCTGTGGCTGCACATGACCCAGGTAGAGCTTCCATGACATGGGGCTCGTGGGGAGGACGAGGGAGAACAAGGCTCAGATGCCACAGACTTGCGCTGTTCTTAATGGAAATTTTATAGATTTTCCTGAAAGAAGGTTTTCTTTTGCTGTATGCCCTTGGGACAGTTTCCAGAGACTTTAAGTGATGGCTATTCAAAATAATTTTCTCAGTTAAATTTTTATTTTGCTGGGTAGAAAGTCTTCCAAGTTTATTACTCCATTATTCCAGAAGTCCCATCTTTTAATTCATCTTTGTATACCCACCACAGTGTCCCTGGGCATGTTAGCATCGGGGCTAACAGCACAAACTCCTTTAAAAAAAAATTACTCACCTGCTTAAAAAAAAAAAAAAAAAATCTCACTTTTGCTAATGCAATTGGAAATAAGACTTTGAGATATTTCAATGTATTTCCAATTCTCTTTGAATGCAGCATTTCAGAAGTTCAGATATTTCATAAGATTCTTGAAAATACTGGTGCTGTCAAGTCCAAGTTCCTCATACAGGAATTTAATGTGGGCTGTAATCTTTTTGTGAGAATCCTAATCAACTGATGGCCTCTAGGCTGAATATCTAAAGTAATCTGGGGGGCCTGATAGCCTAACCAACTCTCTAACCTGCCTGGATTCAAGTCTCTGTTCTGCCACTTGTTAGCTATGTTACTTAGAACAGGTTGTAAAACTCATAGTAGCTCCCTGAGAGGATTGTGGTGGGATAAATGGATTAATACATGGGAAATAGTTGGCTCAGAGTTAGGCACCCGCGGAAGGACAGCTCTCCGTTCATCTTGGTAACCTCTGCGTGGTGACAGATTGCCACAAGGGGGCATCAAGAGCCAGGTGTAACGATGAAGCGCTCCAGGGATCTTTGGTTAGGTCATCCCCATGGTTATATTTGTAGGCCGACCAGAACTAGATATCTTTCCAGACAACAGAAGATAGAAGTTGGAGGCACTTCCTAAACATCACCATACTATTTTCCACCAAAGACAGGAACTCAAGACCCTTCCTAAACATCACTAGGTCATTCCCCCAACTTGAAGCTTTATTGTAGAGACACAGGAAGTATGCTGTCAGGAGAAAAAGTCTCATTTGATTTACAAGGTACTATTCCTGTGTGCAAGGTAGTGTTCTAGGAGATGGGAGGATGCAGAGGTTCCCTTCAGGAACAATCATAGATACAAAGTTGGTATTTACTTACTGAGTGTGTGCCATGCATCAAGGATCCTAACAGCATAAGGCATCATCCCATTCCTTTCATTCTGATTGAAGAGGGCCCCATAGGCTCAGCCAAGGGTTTGACCTTTGCTCAGAGGATGACAAAAAGTCAATCGATATTCTGGAGCAAGGAGGAGAGAACTTAATGAAGAAGGTACTTAGCATGATTTATTCAGAGTGGAGTGCAGGAAAGAAGAGTGAAAGAAAAAGGCAGAGATGCCCTCTGGCAAGATTGCAATAGACCAGTGCAAAGCCAAACTTGATGAAAGCAAAAGCTCTTAATAAAAGTAAATTTCAGGAGAAACCCCAATAGTTAAGAAAATAAAAATGAAGCTGAACCATGAAACAGTGACTGAAACTGGTGGAAACAGGAGTCTTCACCGACTAGACCTCTCTCTCACCTTCTTAGAACTCCCCAAATGGCGAATTGGATATAGGTTTTCAAAACCAAATGAAACGTTGGAAGAGCCTTGGGTGTATCTCTGTGGAACACAACTTGAAAACAACTGCAACTGTCCAAAAAGTAAAGTGGACGGATGAAGACACAGGAGAAAGGATGACTTGAGGATGGAGGGAGGTGGGGCAGAAAGATAACCCAGAACCTGACACCAAGCTGCCCCCCCCCCACTGTGTCCTCACTCCATCCCAGCTGCATCCTCCGCCCTCTGTCCTCCTCCTCCTTGCTTCACTTCTGCTTTCCTTCACATTCGTCCAGCGCCTTACACTAGTGTACGTCCAGGGTCTGAGCCCCACTTTGCACATTAATCTTGGTTCTCATCCTTGGTTACAATTCACATTTGCCTCTCCCTTCCCGGAGACAACCTAGCCTGAGCCAGGCTTATCAATGGGAGCCCTGGCCTGGACCCAGCAGGTCACCATTCTTGCCACCTGCTGTGGAAATTAGAAAGAAGAATGAAGGGGACCTAGCAACAGAGCATGTATGGAGGCAGAACTGATAAAGGAAGGGAAGAAAGGGAAAAGGGTCATTAATAAGCTAATATTTATGAAGTGGTCAGTGTACCAGGCACATTGCTAAGATGTTTTATACACGTTATCTTAGTAATATGCCCATGTTTGTATATAATATACATAGGTGTATCTTCATATATCATATATATTTATACTTATATAAATCCATGGGCAGTGGGTGGGAATAGGTAAGATGCCACAAAGCACACTGCTGCTGATGAAGATGCAGCCATCTTTCCTGAATAAATACTCTTTGGATGGTTGCAAGACTTTGGTTACTTTCCAGAGTTTGGAAAATGTTGATTCTGATCATTTTTGCCAGTGTTCTCGTTGCTTTTGTGGAAAGGTGGATTTTCAGAAATCTTTGCTCTGTTGTATGCAAACTGGAGCCCCGGGGCAATGCTTCCCAGGCCCCTGCATCCCACTGCTCACTCGCCCTTGGTTTGTCGTCCTCAGAACCCTGAGTCTTTCATGAACTGCTGGCTACTCCTTGCTGTATCTGATTGTTTTCAAGTAGGTGTAAGGCTTTTCATTTTCACCAATTAAATTTCATTTTCTTGATTTTTGTTGTTGTTCCAAGATGTCAAATAATTTGGGATCCTGGCATCAGTAAGTATGTTTTTGTTTGTTTCATTGGAGTCATAGACAACATTACTGGCCCAAGTCTGAGCACAGACCAGCATTCTGGGGCTCTGCCGGGTATCCCCTCCGGGGGACATTTAGTCCATTAACTAGTTTGGGAATAGGTAAGATGCACTTTTATTTCCAAACTGCATCTGTAGCATTCCAAAACCTACCAGTAAGACACCTTTTTCTAAAAAGGAAAGTTGGTGGGGCACCTGGGTGGCTCAGTCGTTAAGCGTCTGCCTTCGGCTCAGGTCATGATCCCAGGGTCCTGGGATCGAGCCCCGCATCGGGCTCCCTGCACTGCGGGAGGCCTGCTTCTCCCTCTTACACTCCCCCTGCTTGTGTTCCCTCTCTCGCTGTCTGTGTCTGTCAAATAAATAAAATCTTTTTAAAAAAAATAAAAATAGGGCACCTGGGTGGCTCAGTTGGTTAACGACTGCCTTCGGCTCAGGTCATGATCCTGGAGTCCCAGGATCGAGTCCCACATCGGGCTCCCTGCTCAGCAGGGAGTCTGCTTCTCCCTCTCCCACTCCCCTGTCTTGTGCTCTGTCTCTAAAATAAATAAATAAAATCTTTAAAAAAAAATAAAAAAATAAAAATAATAAAAAGGAAAGTTGGTTAATTTTACTTGATTTATTCACAGCGCATTTTCCCAACTCCTATTATTCACTATTTCTTTACTGTTCACACATCATTTGCTTCTAAAGAATGTTATACTTATTGAAGTACCAAGGATCCATCATTGCCCCTTTTGGAAAAGCAAGGCAACATTTGATCTCTCAAATTTCTTGCCACTTTCCATCCACTCCACACATTTCTCAAAGGACAATAGCAATTGTGTGAGAATTAATTGGCAGCCTTCACTGTCTTGTCCCTGGTGACTGCGGGGCCAGGAAGAGCACAGCCTGGGGGGAGCCAGCTTAGGGGCGGGGGCTGTTCCCCTATGGGCAGCCCAGGCAGCTAATGGATAACTCTAGGCGTGATGTGGGAAATCGTCAACACCAGAGTTCCAAACTGCACTCAGAGGGCAGTGGTGTGGTTCAGGGCTGGCTTTTTTGGTGATCCATGACAGCGCCATGTCAATAATTAGTGAACTAGGGAGAAGAATTCAGCGTTCCCCACTCCCTGGGAGAGGGGGCTGGTGGGAGCAATAGGGGCTCATAAGGCCCAACTGAGCTGACTGAAACTCAGGGCTAGAGCCTCAGACATAGTGTCCAGGGCAGGAGGCCCCTACCGTGAATTGGGCCAACAGTGTGGGCACACAGAGGTCAATGGCCCTAGTAGAGTCCCCACTGCTGACATGTTTGCTGCCTGTCCCCACACATGCCTCAATATGGAGTGGGGCACATTCCCGATTCCAGCTGTGAGAGGCTGGAGAAGGCCAGAGCCACCAAGGAATGTGACTTTTCAGAGTTTGCACGGGACAGTGGAAATAAAGGCCCAGACAGGCTAAGCAAATGGCGGTCCAACCTCTTGGCAAATTACTTATTACTGTGAGTTTCAATTTTCTCACTTATGCAATTAAGCCCTCAGCGCACTAGAGCCCCGGTAAACTGTACTTGGGAATTTTCATTATGCAGGTAGGTTTCTTTCTCGGAGCAGTTCCCCATCCCTACTGCCAGATGGCGCCTGGGAGCAGGGCCGCCATTTCCAAAGGCTTTTCTTTCCACCCGTTGGGCGCTAGGTAGTTCGTGATCTTCCTCGCTGTCAGTGCTCAGGCTGGCATTTAAAATCCGGTGCTGCACACAGACTTTGTGCTTTTGATCCATCTGCTCCATGAAGAGCTGTGAAACTCAGAAATACCTACTTCTAGCCAGACATCCATTGCTCCAATAGGATTTGTCAGTTGATAAGCCTTTGTGATATAACCAGGCAATGGGGACACTCAGAACAAGTCAAACATTTCATTAGGAATCCGATTTTTTTTTTCTTTGCATGCTTATCTCTGTTATAAGTTAGAGAATCTGGAAAGAGTGCAGAGACTCAAAGTTCAGGCCTCGTAGGTTTGAGTCTCAGTATGCTGAGCAACTTTGAGCAAATGATTTGATCTTTCTGAATCCTACTTTCTTTACCTGTAAATAGTTGTGATAAGAGTAGCTGCGTCATAGGGTTGTCATGAGAATAAATGAGATAATATGTGTAGGACACGGCATGAAATCAGGTACAGAGCTAGTGCTAAGTATAAGCAATTATATGTCAAGAGCATGAGCTTTGAAGTCAGTTAGATAAGGATTTGACTCCTAGTTCTTTGATTCAAAAGTTGCATGGTCTTGAATAAGTTATGCAAACTCTGAGCTCCTTGAGAGTTGCCTTGAAAGTTGCAAGATTATTATGGGGCGCCTGGGTGGCTCAGTCGTTAAGCGTCTGCCTTTGGCTCAGGTCATGATCCCAGGGTCCTGAGATCGAGCCCCGCATCGAGCCCCGCATCGAGCCCCGCATCGAGCTCCCTGCTCTGCAGGGAGCCTGCTTCTTCCTTTCCCACTCCCCCTGCTTGTGTTCCCTCTCTCGCTGTGTCTCTCTCTGTCAAATAAATAAAATCTTAAAAAAAAAAAGATTACTATGAAAATTACAGAGCTATATAGACAACGCCTTTTACTTTTTATTTGCATCATGACCCATTTCAGACAGGATTTGAGTTTCCCCACACAAAGCAAAAAGTAACCCAATGACTTTTTTTAAGCAGATAATACAATCAGGGTGAAGAAAAAGCAAGGATAGGAAACACGAGGGAAAACAAGAGATAAGGTTGGCCACCCTGATCACATCCTAAGAGTATCCATGTATCCTCGCTAGTGATGAACGGGTCACAAATGTGGCTTTGGGCTTCTTAGCATCCAAAGCAATAAAGAAAGGAAATATGGTTAGTTAAATGATTCAGAGTGCCAAGATAAATGCAGAGGAGTTCTGAAGAAGAATCTCAGCTATTCCTAGTTCTGAGACTGAAGAGGCTGTAAGTAGCACATGGTGGATACACAATAGATATATAAATGTTAGCTGTCCTCATCTTCAAGCACAGAGGAAAAAGTGAGTCTAGGGATAAAAGCAACATGGAAGAGGTAACTTCTGAGCTGAATAGAACTGAATACAAATTTGCCAGGTGTGGGAGGGGGGGTGGGCGGGGAGGGCTGGAGAAGGGAGGGAGTCCCCCGTAAAGGGAGAGTGTGACAGTGGCAGGATCACCCCCACCCATCACTGTAGCTCGAAAGCCAGGGACTCACATGATGTCACATCGGGTGGAGAGGAAGCTCCCATCAGACTGACAGGCACAGGGACTTGTGGTTTGAAAAGCCGGGAAGGAGAGAGGAGGCTTGGGAGCTCAAGCACAGCTGATTTGGCTTAGAGTCTCTCCCTACTGGACATCTGGTGTTTAATGACAGTCCTCAGAGGGAAGTGAGTTCTCTTTTTTTGAGTGTGTTTTGTTTGGTTCTGTTTTCCTGTGGACCCAGCCTTATGGCTCTTGAAGGAAGAAAACAGCCAGGATGGTTACAGGGAATGTTACTTTTTTCGCCAGGTCTTCTCAGCCACTCCGAGCAGGGCTGGAGGCTTCTGTGACTTTCTGAGTCAGAGAGGGTTTTTGGGCTGTAAAGACCCACAGATTTGTATGGAAATTGCATTCCCATTCCTCCTCTTCTCCCACCACACTCTCAGCTCCTTCTTCCTTCTTCATGTCTTCCAACACATTCTCTGACTCTCTCTGTCTGTCTCTCACTAAGCGGGAGGGGGTGGGATAAACCTGCAGAAATCTGTGTTTCCTTCTGTGTTAGCCACCCAGAGGAGCCTCCAAATCCCTGCATCCCCTTGGGACTTTGTCCCTAATAAATCTATATACAAAGACAGAGCTTCCTGCTTCGAGGTGTTTGTACCCAGGAGGTTGAAAATGAGCTAATTAGTGCTTACAATTAAGTTTGGATCCCTAAACACACAGTTGGTATGACTGCCCTGTTCTCATTGACAACTGAGTTGTCACTAACTTTCAGGACTTAAATACCCTTTAGACTCTTCCTGGCCCGCCCAGAGGAGGCATAGCATGATCCCCGCAGCCCAGCTTCGTATCTCTGCAATCATCTGCTTTCTAAGAATTCTCCCCAGGGCCAGTTCTTGGTATGCTTCTGATTATTATCTTTGCACCCTCTGTATGACGACTGTGACAGAGTCCCCATGTTAGCTGGCTCTGCCCAGGTATGGCGGAAGGGACACAGACTGGGAAAGTCAGACATCCAGGTTCCAGGTATGGATTTTTCTGGGGTCCGTGGCTGCCATTATTTTCTCAAAAGGGTCTGTGACTCACGAAGGCTAAGAATCCCTGGGCTTGTTGATTTATTAATTCTTAGAATCCAACGAAGAGCAATTCTTCGGCTCTGTGCTTCTGGGAAATGTCATATATTGGGTAGTTCAGCAAATGTCTGCTGACTGTCTACTGCATACCAGCTCTTTGACATGGTGTAAGGGTGTGAAAGGAGATAAGACCGCTTCCAAGGGGACCCCTGTCCCATGGGGAGACCCACCCACAAACAAAGAATCATGGTAAGATGTCTGAAACGTAATGATGGAGAGGCAGCCAGGACACTTGAGAAACACAGAGCATCCAGAAGTGATGGCACCTTTTCCTCCTCACCTCCCAAGAGCACGTGAACTGCTGAGAAGAGTTTTGGGGGTTGGGGGAACTTCCCTTCAGGTTTCCAAAGTGGAGGGCATGCTCCCACCCAGTCCTTCTGCAGGCTCCAGGCTCCTGCTGACCCTCTCCCTCCCGACGGTCTCCGCATAGATTCTCTGTCCTTGTGCTGCCAACAAGGTCACTGAGCTCAAGTGGAAATGGGCCTCCTCCTCCTCCTCGAGTGTAACCTTTCCTATGCATGCCTCAGAAGCCCCATGCCCTGCAGGAACCCCAAGACCTTGCCAGCCCCTCTTTTCCTGCCCTTCCTGGCCTCTCTTGGCCCCTTTCATGTCCAACACTCCAGGACACCAAACCTTGAGTACACTGACAAGGATGCTGTCCCAACAGCATGTTATTCTTGTTCCCGTGTAGACCTTAGCAGCTCCCAGCGACCTTATGGCTCTGTAGGAAGCACTATTAAATGTTAAATCCATTTAAAAAAGAAAAGCAGAGAGGCGCCTGGGTGGCTCAGTCGGTTAAACATCTGCCTTGGCTCAGGTCATGATCCCAGGGTCCTGGGATCGAGCCCCGAGTCTGGCTCCCTGCTCAACGGGGAGTCTGCTTCTCCCTCTGCCCCTCCCCCCTCCCCTCCCTCCCACCTGCTCATGCTCTCTCTCTGTGTCTCTCTCTCAAATAAATAAAATCTAAAGGAAGGAAGGCAAAAAGGCAAGCAAGCAAGCAAAGCAAGAATATTTATGTTGGCACACAGTGGGTCAGAGGGACAGACGC